GACCCTGCCCTCCACCCCCTGCATGTGACAGGAGGCTGGGCCAGAGGCCGGTCTGCAGGAGAGAGACAAACAGCATCCAACGGGCTCCCTGCTGCCCAACCTGAGGCCAGCCTTCAGGCTGTGCCACCAACACTGCGTGCAGGCCTTGGCTAGTGGGGCCCTCAGGGCAGCAGCCCTGCTCGCATCTGGAAGGCCAGACCATCCCCTCGGGTGGCTTGCTGGGGAAGAAAGCACACAGGAGGGGACACATCAGAAGCAGAGCTGGGGGTGGGCCTGGGCAAGGGGGCGACACCCACCTTGTTGATCTCTCTGTGTCGTTCCTTGGTTACGATTTCCTCTAAGACCTCACCGTCTCCCTTAATGAGCCTAGAGGAGGAGGGGAAAGAGGCTGAGCCTCTTAGAGGCCAGAGCAACAGAACCAGAAGCATCCAGCAGAGGGGTGCCAGGCCTCAGGCCCCCACCATCTCGAGCAGGCGGAGCCTGGCCGCTCCCACCCTTGGGACAGGGATGAGGGTGGCCCAGTAGGCTCTGCCATCGGACCAGCCGACAGCGGCTCTTTGAAGACCCCCGCCCAAGGCCCTTCGAGCCCCTGCAGTCGCCTGCTCTGAGGAATGGGCAGCAGGGGCCTGAGAAGTCCCATCAACGAGTGACTCCTTTTTCTCCCTCATCCTCGGTCCTTTTAGAGCAGCAGAAGCTGCCACCACCTCTCCTCCTGAGTGCCGGCCTGGGACCAGGGCGCCCAGGTGCAGCCGTGGGGCCCGGCTTCCCACCTGGTGCGTCCTGTCTCCGGGTCCACCACCTTGCGGATGACGCTCTGCCGGGCATCCCACTCCTCCTTGGTCATGGGCTTCATGGCCTGGATGCGGGACTTCTGCTCGTCCGTCAGGACTGGAAGGTAAGATGGCAGGGAGGTGGCGGGGGGGGGGGCGCTCAGGAATGCGGGCCTCAGGGAGGGGACCCTCCCTGGCTCGCACACCAGGCAGCACTGCACCTGGGCCGTCCTCGTCCTCCTCGGCTGCTCTGTGCCACTGGTCCAGCGAGGGTCCGGGCAGAGCCTCGGTCTGCTGCACCTTGGCCTCATCCTTGTCTCTCTTCTTGGGCGGCTTCTTCCTTTTCTTCTTTTTCTTCCTCTTCCTGCCCTTGTGCTTCCCCCGCTTCCTCCGGCCGTCGCTGGAGGAAGAGCCGCTGGAGGAACTGGAAGGAGAGGAGGAGGGGCTGGATCGTGGTCTCCTCCGGGCCCTGTGTTTGCTTCTCTCTGTGGCGCAGGGAGAAGGTGCGGCTGGAAGGCCCGGAGGCGAGGAAGGGAACCTTCGTGCCCTTGCTCCGGCCTGCAGCAGGCTTGGGCTGACTACAGAGGGGTGAGCCCCTCCTGGCAGGGCTCTCTAGAGGAGGGCTCTGCACCCTGTGGAGAGGCACTTTCCGGGCTGCGCAGTCACTGCCCAGGAGCAGGGCGGCCAGCCTCCGCATCTCAAACCCAGCTGCACCAAAAATATGATCAAGTGCTCCCTCCACTCCGTACTCAATGCGCTGGCCCAGCCCCTGGATTCTGAGCGTTTTTCAATCCAGGTATCCAGGATCTACACTCTGTGTGCCTCTGAATAGCGCTCACCGCGACGTCCCCACAGCCAGTCCGGAGAAGCCCGCCCAGCTGCCTGCAACTTCCTCCATGAAGTTCCCTCACCCCCTTCCCATTCCCTCTGGTTCTCACCCTCCGCCCCAGAGGAGGTGGCGCTGGCCTTGCGGCTTTGGGATCTAGAAGCCGAGCAGCTTCTCGGGGCGTCCTTACTGCTCTTCTTCCTTTTCTTTTCCGACCCTCGCCCCCGGGACCGGCTGCGACTCCTCGAGCGCTTGCGAGAGCCGACGTGAGCCATAGCGCCGCGGGCTGGAGACGGGGAGACGCGCTTAAACTGGGGATTGATCACAGGGCCGGCCCACAGACTGGGTTCCGAGGGCGGCTCTACTCGGGGCCTGGTCACCACCCGGGGCAGGGATATTGAGGGGATCCGTGCAACCGCACGATCCTCAGCCACCCCCACCCCTGGGTACCCCGGGTTCTCCGCGGCCTCCCGGATCCTCCGCTGCGGCCCCTTTAAGGGCCCGCCCCCGCCCGGACGCTCCACGCCTGCGCACGCGGCTCAGGCGCCTCTAGAAACGGCCACGATCCTCAGCTGCCAGGTGCGTTCTTCATTCCTTCCCGCGCGCTCGTACCCTCCACCCCGCGCCCTCCGCGGCCTCGTCGCCTGAAAGAAAGTCCCCGCGGCTGCTCCGCTCCCTCCTCAACCGCCCATCCGGCCGGACCGCCAACCCCGCACCACGCCTTCGCGTGAGGAAGCGACGGCTGGGCGACTTCCGGCCCGGGACGGTGCTCTGGGAGGCCGTCCGACCGCGAAGCAAGACGCTGCTGCCTTTAGTTCTGAAGCCCCAGGTTCCGTCTCTGGGACAGCCCAAGAAACTGAGTCTGACGCACTGACCTCCTGGGGAGGCGAGCTGGGGCTCCAGGCGGAGCTCCCAGACGAGAGACCTGCTCTCCAGCCTGGCGCCAGTCCCGGAGCCCACGGGCCCTTTGCCGCAGCTATGCCCTCTCCCATCACGGTCCTTTCGCCGCGCCCGCAGCATCCCTAGTCTCCGTGATGCCCCAGGGAAGAAGGCGAGTGCGCGCCGCTTTCCTCTCTGGATTGTCTGCGAACGTGTCCACTGCAACGGGCCGTAAGCTCCAGAGCCTTGGTCTTTACACCGTCTCCACCCAGTAATACAGAGGTCGCAAACTCAAATGTCCATAACGACCAGAGAGGGCATGACAATGAATGACGGAAGGACCCCTGTGAGAAAGTGCACCGCAGGCCCGTCTAGACTGGGGGCAGCTGAGTCCGCTTCTGCTGATTAGTGTCGATTGGAGCCCGGTGTTTCCAGATCTTCCCACCTTCCCACGGAAGCCAGAACTCAAGCTTTCAACATGGAAAACCCTCCCAAACACAGCATAGCTGCACGCCTCATCCAATCCTGGGGCCGCCAAGTTGCAAACTCTTCAATAGTAACGACAGCAGCAAACTCACAAGTCTGTTAAAAATCACTGTGTAGGGCTTCCCTGGTGGTGCAGTGGTTGAGAGTCTGCCTGCCGATGCAAGGGACACGGGTTCATGCCCTGGTCTGGGAAGATCCCACATGCCATGGAGCGGCTGGGCCCGCTGAGCATGCGTGTCTGGAGCCTGTGTTCCGCAACGGGAGAGGCCACAGCAGTGAGAGGCCCGTGTACCACAAAAAAAAAGGCACAAAATCACTGTATAAATGGGAAGTCACTTGATCTCCACAACACCTCTAAGACACGAGTACTTTCCAGAGGAGGAAACAAAGGCACGGAGAATCACGTGGCTTACCCACAGTCACAGCTGGAAGCGGCCGAATCAGAATTCGAACCCAAGAGGTCTGGCTCCAAGTCCCTGCTTTTAATCCCTCTGCAGTAACCCCTCCACATGGTCCAGAAGATGCTGTTGGCGGCCCATCTAAATCCCCTTTGTCGACGGGGCGCTCACTCCCAGGGTGGTGTCTGCTGCTGACACCTCACACCTGTTTGTTTGTTTGCGGTACGCGGGCCTCTCACCGTCGCGGCCTGTCCCGTTGCGGAGCACAGGCTCCGGACGCACAGGCTTAGCGGCCATGGCTCACGGGACCAGCCGCTCCGCGGCATGTGGGATCTTCCCAGACCAGGGCACAAACCCGTGTCCCCTGCATCGGCAGGCGGACTCTCAACCACTGCGCCACCAGGGAAGCCCACACCTGTACTTTTTAAACATTTTTTTAAAATTTTATGTATTTATTTTTGGCTGCATCGGGTCCTAGTTGCAGCGCGTGGGCTCTTCGCTGTGGCGCACGGACTCTCTAGTTGAGGTGCGCGGGCTCAGTAGTTGCTGTGCACGGGCTTAGTTGCCCCGCGGCATGTGGGATCTTAGTTCCCCGACCAGGGATTGAACCCACGTCCCCTGCATTGGAAGGCAGATTCTTAACCACTGGACCACCAGGGAAGTCCCTCACACCTGTACTCTTCTCTCGAAGATTCCCTTGGCTGCTGGGAATCACCTTGTCCTGGAGATGGATGTCTGGGAAGTTACCCCTCCCTATCCCAAAACACCCTATAGCTAATATCTGATGTGGAGGGCAAACTGTGGTATGATTCATGCTCCAGAGAGCCCCGTGGGATCAGGCCGAGGCTGGATGCCATTGCAAACCATCTTGGCCCAGTTCCTTACTGCTCTGTCCTGCCCCCTCTTCTCCCAAGAGTAACCCCTCCTTAAACCAGCTGCACAGGAATCCCTGTCTCAGGCTCTGGTTCTAACGAACCCGACCTAAGCCAATGTGTCTGCTGAAAGAAGGACCCAGAAGCTCATGTGTCCTTTTGAACCAAGATGTGCTGAGGGCTGCAGGGTGTTTATTTCTGCTCCTCACCCCGCCACACTGGCCCCAGCCAGGCTCAAGTCAGTGCACACACATCCACCGTGGTGGGCTCCTCGCGGGTGAAGCCGTCGCCGAAGCCCTCATCATCCACCAGGTCGGGCTTGCGGCAGCACATAGGGCAGAGGCGGTTGCGCACAGCAGAGGCGCGGAGCCAGACGACCAGGTTCCAACGCTCACCAGTGCCCAGGGGTCGGGCCCCGTGCAGCTGGCCACCCCGGTGCAGGATGCCCTGGCCCACCACGTGCTCTACCTCCAGGGGGTTGGCCAGGGCCGAAGGCACCTGTGGACAGTGGGGCTCAGGCCTGGGCACTCTCGGTGGCCCCGGCCCTGCCCCACGGGTCACACACACTAACCTGGAAGAGGTCCCCAAAGTAGAGAGCACCCCCCGTGAAGGCCTTGCCCAGGGCCACGTTGAGGGTGAGCTCGGCGTTATCGTAGTGGCAGCCCAGCTCGCGATCCTGGCCTGGCGCGTATTTGACCACGAAGGCGCGGTGGGTGTCCAGCCAGCCCCTGTACTCTGGGTACAGCAGGGCCATCAGCGGCTGCAGGAAGCGCTCCCTCAGTGGCGTCACCAGTGGCTCATCCAGGCCCAGCTCGTGTAGCAGCACCTGGGAGGGGGATCCCAGGGTCAGCGGGGAAACTGGTAGGGCCTCACCTTGGGTCCCTGGGGGAGTCCCTTACTAAGGATGCTGTTAAGTGCTTTGCAAACATCAACGTGCTTAACTTCATAATAATCCTGCTGTGATCTCATTTTACAGATGGGAAAACCGAGGCTTGGAGAACGTCTACAGCGCTGGGGATACGTCTCACCAGATGATGTCCCCACCTCCTTGGGCCCACCGGGTGGAGCCTCACCCACCCCGTAGTTGTTCATGGTGTTGGGTCTTCCCTTGGGCATGTCCGACTGCTCGAAGTGGTCCAGCTCCTCCAGCAGGGCCTGGCAGAACGGCGCTGTGAACACCGGCAGCCGGTAGATACGCTTCTCCTCTGTGGAGGGAGGGACAGTCGTTTGGCCAGAAGCTCCGGTATGGGTTTCAATCTACCCATAAACTTTTCACTTCCCCCAGCCTCAGTTTCCTCACTTGTACAATGGGGATGACGTGAGTACTCACCTCTCAGGGCTCTTGTGATGATTAAATGACATAACGTGCGGCAGGGGAGCCCTATTCTTGGGCCCCCCACTCATCCCTGAAGCCTCACCCTGCCCTGAGGTCTAGCCTCCAAATTCAGATGTGCACCCCGTCCAGCGAGCCCTCTCCCACAGCTCCAGGTCCTGGTAGGTTCAAGAAACCTCATTCTTGCCCACTCCTTCAGGTCTTGGGATAGGAACGGCTCCCTACCCCCAACCCCACCCCCCGTTACTAGCCCTGGGGCGGGGCCCCCCCCGTCCCTTGCTGATTCCTTAGCCCACACTTGTCTCAACTCTCCCTTTGTTAACCTCTTCAGTCACCCCTATCTGAGCGTGTCTGATGCAAGGCACTGAATAACTGTTGGATAAGTGAGTGAATGGATACAGATGCCCTGCTCCTGATGGGTCTGTCCCGCCAGCCCTTCTCAGTCCTGCTGGTTTGATTTTTGGAGGCAGATATGGTGGGTGGAGGGACCTCAGTCTCCCACCCCCAGTGCTGCAAGGTGATGGGCCAAGACCTCACCCGAAACTGTCTCCAGCCGCCGGAGGAGGCCCTGGAGGTCTGCACCTGGCGATGTGCTGTACTCAGCTGCGGCCAGAAACTCGGGGGCCAGAGCCACATCCTGGGGGCAGAGCACACAAACCGTGGGGCAGACAGCCCTCAGGCCCGGTTGCCTCCGCCTCCTTCCAGTAACCTGCCCCCTGCCAGGTACCTGCAGTGAGCTGTAGACATCGGGCCGCGCTGGGTGGTAGGAGTTCACAATGAGGGCTTTCCTGGCAGCCGACTCCTTCCCCAGCCGCTGCCGCCGCTCCACCTCCTTCTCAAGCTGGGGTTACACAGGGCCTGGGTATGAGGTTGGGGCCTCCCATCCGCCCCCAACGAGGCCACTGTGCAGATGAGGAAACTGAGGCTCAGGAAGCCCAGGGCATGGCCAGGGCTGGGAGCAACGTCTCCCTGTGCTCCTGACTCTACCAGGGTAAATGGCAGGTGCTAAGCTGTTAGCTGAAAGGGAATCCTTCCCGAAGGGGGCCCATCCCACTCAGGGCTACACCAGTCTGAGCCTGGCTGGGATGAGACCCCTCGCTGCTCCTCAACCAGCTGGGCCCACTCAAGGAGGGGAAGCAGAGTCCCGGTCAAAGCTTGTGTTCCAGAGGCTGCAGCGGGCTGTCCTGGGAAGCTTCCCGACACTTAACCCCCGGGTGGGAGACAAGCAGCAGCCGCAGAAGTGGCGTGGGGGGAAGGTTGAAGAGCCAGGAGCCAGGCGGCCCTGGGTGGGACCTCAACTCCACCTGCTGTGAAACCTCGGGCAAGTGACCCTCCCCGGAGCCCGAGTATCTCAAAAGGGCATGAGGCAGACAACTTGGCGTTTCTCCTGCTTTCTCTTTTTCTGCTGCCAGGACCCAGGTGCTGTGGTGAGTGAGGACAGGAAGGGGGAAAGGGGAGGTCTAAGGATCTGACACTGGCAGGCCTGAGGCTGGGAGACTCCACAAACTGCTGATGCAAATGTAAAGAGGAAGGGCCAGGCTGGGTGCGGAGGGAGCAATCGAGGGCGGGCGGGAGTTGTTACCTCTTCCAACAGCTGCTGGAAGTCCTTGGGGCTGACACAGCCTCGGCTGCGCAGGATCTGGGAGCAGAAAGGCCAGTGAGCGCTGACGGTGTGACCTTGGGACGTTTAAGTCACTTAAACGTCTCTGAGCCTCAGTTTTTCCTTGAAATGGAGATGATCCGACCTCACAGGATCATTGTAAGGATGGAATGCGATAAGCACGTTGAGCACAGAGCAGGGTTCCCAGCTGCTCTTGGTGATAACACTGACAGTATTCTGAGCCAGGCCCTGCCCTGAGCATTTTGCATGTACGTTCATTCATTCATTGCTCACGATAATCTCACTAAAGATACCATTATCGCCATTTAAGGTTGAAAACAATGAGGTACCTAAAGGTTAAGTCATTCTTGTCGTCAGACCCGAGCGCACCAAAGGCAAAGCAAACGACCCCTCCGCCACCCCTCCCCGCCCATTTCCCAGCAGAGCCAATAGAGGCCACTCACGGGGCCGTAGTCCTGGCGCAGCTGCTGCTCGCTCCGGAAGCGCACGTGCAGGCCGTAGCGCGCCACGTACAAGTTCTCGGAGCAGAAGCAGGCGCAGCGGCAGAAGCGCCGCGGAGCCGCCGCGGTCCCCATGGTGAGGTGCCGCGCGCGGACCCGCCGGATTCCGTAGGGGCACTTCCGGATACGCCCCCAGCCGAGGCGGTCTGGAACCAGCGGCCAAGGGTCCGTTCCAAATTCCCAAGTGCGGAAAAGAACGAAGACTGCACCCCAGAAAACGGTCTGCGGTGCAGGAAGATGCTCCCGACCGGGTTGGGGCTGGCAGCCTCCGCTGGGAGCACGCGCCTTCTCGTTCCGCTTCAGAGTTTCTCCATCCACGAGGCGGGAATTAATCGTCCCACTTTACAGATAGGTGAAATGAGTCACACCTTCACAGGACGTGGAGAAGTAGGGACTCGGAATCTCAAGACCCTCTGCTTAAACGCTGGCTCCTTTTTCTGTTCGGAGGTTTTGAAGAACCAGCGAAAGCCACGAGGACAGAGCTCTAGGGTCTGACCTCGTTCCCTCCAACTGCTCTCCAGTTTTGTGCGTCTGAGCTTGGGTTTAGCATTTATCCCGGGTCCTCGCCCGGCGCTCCCGTTGCCAACGCCACAGTCTCAGGGTTCTCCGCGGATCGCCCCAGTGAGTGTCCCCACGAAAACGCTCCGTCCGGTGAGACTTCCGGTGGTGCTCCCGACGGATTCAGGTGTGAATAGGGCGTGGTCGGTCGGTGGCCGCACCCAGCGCAACCAGGATCAAGTTCTGTACAGCCGCAGTGTGAGCTGAGTATGTTTCTGTCTTACAGAGCGTGCCCTCCATCCTCGGGGAGACCCATCACAGCACACGCAAGCCATACCTTGGGAACCCCGTCATGGTCCGCCATGCATCCCCAAGACCCCGGTCTGCAAAGCCCCGAGAAGAAGCTTGGAGGTCAATACTATTGAGCTGGCAGAACTAAGGCGTGCAGCTGGGGAGGAAGTCTTGACCCCTGGAAATGACCCCTGCCCCCTGCCTTAGAGTTCCCTCCATGGCTCAGCGTGATGCAGGGATGGGGGTGGGGAGGAAGACTCAGGGGCTTTAAGACTCTGGCCCTTACCCTAGATCAACAGGTGACTGCAGATGACAGCTGTTGACCGAGGCTCCTCTCTACTGGACCTGAGCTAACACATCTACCACCCACCTTATCTCCTTTCAACCTTACAGCAAACCTTTGAGCTAGGTACTGTTATATCACCGTGTTACAGACAGGGGAACCTGAGGCCCAGAGAGGTGCAGTGACTTGCCCCCTGTCACTCTCCAGTAAGGGACACATGGGGTTTGAACCCAACAGTCTGCCCTCTGAGTTCCCTATTCACCACAAAAGGAATACTGAGTGGTGGGATTTTGAGGGATGTTGACTTTTCTCTTTGGGCTTGTTGGCATTTCTTTCCTCCCTCCCTTCCTCCCTTCCTCTCTCTGTCTCTTTCTTTCTTCTTCATATATAAATATATATATATATTTTTTTTTTTGGTCGCACCGTATGGCTTGCGGGATCTTAGTTCCCCAGCCAGGGATCAAGCCCATGCCCCCTGCAGTGGAAGCACTGAGACCTAACCATTGGACCGCCAGGGAATTCCCTTGTTGGCATTTTCTTGATAACTCTGCTTTCCTTTCCCCATGTGTAGACACAGGTTCACGCTCACACACTCACTTCCACAGTCACACACTCAAACACAGCCTTACATGCTAACACACATTCACACACAATCACACATGCGCTCACACCCTCACACATACCATCAACACACACCCTCGCTTGAACGCACACAACATTCCACATACAGTCACAGTTGCACACTCCTATTCATACACCCAATATCTCACACACATGCACACCCTCACAAAAGTACTCACCCACACTCACATCCTACACACAGTCACACACACACACACACACACACACACACACACGCAACACAGCCCCTCTTCCTGTCTTCTTCAGGGCTCTGCGGCCCACCCCTTGCTCCTGCTGAGGCCCCAGGACCCCAGAAGGAAGATGGGAGACCTCCAAGCCCTGTGATGCGGTGCAGGCCGTCCTCCCAGCTGTCTCCATCAGCACATTCGGGGGACCAAGGCTCGAGCCAGCAAAGTCTCCCCTCCAGCACCTTGAGGGGCCGGAAGAGGGCCCCTGCTCTCTGGACAGAGCCTGCACAACAGCCTGATTGGTTTTCACACTGGCTGGGCAGGGGCAGCGAGACCCTCCTGTCTGGGAGTGTGGAAGGAGTGCGTGTGAGTATGTGGAAGTGTGTTTTGAGTGATGGACAAGATCCCTGCCCTTCTGAAGCTTTCAGTCGAGGGGGGAGACAGGAACAAGCAAGGAGACCAGTACGAGATCAGGTTATCCTCGCTCAGTTGTAAGTGCTGGGAAGGCACTAGGCTGATGAGATGGCGAGTGCCTGGAGGCGGCTGCTTCGGACACGGTGGCCAGGGAAGGCCTCCTGAAGAGTGACATTTCAGCTGAGCTCTAACTGCTGCAGCAAGATCTGCAGGAAAGGGTTCTAGACAGGGAGACTGAGGGGCAAAGGCCCTGCAGTGGGCTGAGCTTGGCATGCTTGGAGAACAGCAAAAAGCATACAAGAGGGCAAGTCATAGGGAAGGAGGCCAGGTGGTATTGAGACCAAATCATTGGGCTTAGTAGGCCACTGGGAACATTTTGAATTTTACTCTATTTGCAAAGGGAAGCTGTTTAGTCCTCACAACAAACCCTATGTGGTAGGAACTATCCCCATTTTACAGGTGTGGAAAACAAGGTTCAGATGGCTTGAATGACCCACCAAGGTCACACAGCTCATACATGGTGGAGTCTGGAATGGAACCCAAGTCTGACTCTGCTGGGTTGTTCCTAAAGGCGCAGCCAGGTCTCTCAGTGCCCCCTCCCCTCCTCAGGTGTGAAATCCAGGTCACTGGGCCGCGGAGATCCTGGGGCCTAGCCCAAGCCTCCTGAAGCTACCAGGCTTCCCCAGGGAGAAGAACGACGGTCGAGGACCTGCTTCCCCCCTCAAGGACCCAGCTCCCCAGCCCAGAGCTGTGTGGCCTGAGAAGGTGATTAAAGTTTTACAGCCATCTTGATTGCCCAGCGATAGTGAAGGGCCCTGCTCTCCAGGAAAGGATCCATTTCCCCAGCTCTGCGTTCATCCCACTCCTAAGTGCCTTCCTTCCCCAGGAGGTCCAGGGGAGACCAGCTCCCCAGGCAGCCACCACGCAGGCTGGACCCCAGCAGCTTCCCCCACAACACACACACGTGCACACCCCGGCTCCCTGGCTAGTGTTCTCCTTTTACAGTAGTTTTTGCAAGATAACCATTTCCTGCTCCTCAGTTTAGACTGGCCCTCCCTATGCCCCATCTCTTCCTTGGAAACAGAGTCCCCAGCCCCACCCTGCCCCAGCCTGGGCTTGGTCACCAAAGGGAACAGCAGCCAGAATATTAATAGTAAGCACCGAATCAGTATGCTCGTTGCCAGCACTGACGTACTTTTGTTGACCTTGTGAGGTATTATTATCCCTATTTTACAGATGAGGAGACGGAGGCTCAGTGAAGTCCAGGGGCCTGTCTAGGGTCATAAACCTTGTGAGTGCGGAACCAGAATTAGAACACCCATCCTTTGGATTCCAGAGTGATGTGTGTGTGTGTGTACGTGTATGTATATGTATATATGTGTGGTATGTACGTGTATATGTATACACGTGTCTATACATATTCTTTTGAATTGACAGCACACATGCACAAATGGGCACAAATCATAAGTGTACAGTTTGGTGAATTTTCACAAACTAGACAGCACCCAGATCCCAAACCAGAACATCCCAGCCCTGCAGAAACCCCCATCCATGTCCCTCCCCATCAGTCACTAGCCACCTCCCAAGGGCAGACACTATTCTAAGAGCAAAGATCAGTCTTGCCTGTTCTTGAATTTGATACAAATAAAATCATATGAAAAAAATCATAATAAAAAAATAAAATCATATGTATTGTTTTGTATACCACTTCTTTCACTCAGCATTATGTTCTTTTTCTTTTTTTAATTGAAGGATAGTTGATTTACAATGTGTCAGCTTTTGGTGTTCAGTTATACGTACATATATAATATACATTCTTTTTCATTTATATTGTATGTATGCTTTTTCATTCTCTTTTCCTTTATGGTTTATTATAGGATATTGAATCTAGTTCCCTTGTTTATCTCTTTTATATATAGTAGTTTGTATCTGCTAATCCCAAACTCCTAATTTATCCTCCCCAACCCCCAGCATTATGTTCTCTTTTTTTTAAGTAATTAATTAATTTATTTATTGGCTGTGTTGGGTCTTCGTTGCTGCACGTGGGCTTTCTCTAGTTGCGGCGAGTGGGGGCTACTCTTCATTGAGCTGCGCAGGCTTCTCATTGCGGGGGCTCCTCTTGTCGTGGAGCACGGGCTCCAGGCGCGCAGGCTTCTATAGTTGTGGCACGTGGGCTCTGCGGCATGTGGGATCTTCCCGGACCAGGGCTTGAAACCATGTCCCCTGCACTGGCAGGCGGATTCTTAACCACTGCACCATCAGGGAAGCCCAGCGTTATGTTTTTAAGATTCATCTGTGTCATTATGTGTAGCAGTGGCTCGTCCCTTTTCATGGCTGCATAGTATTCCACCTGGTGACCACTCCACCATTCACTGAGTCATTCTACAGTTGATGGACATTTGCATTGTTTCCGGTTTGGTGATGTCATGAATGAAGCTGCTATGAACAATTTTTATTGTGGTTAAAATATACATAACATAAAATTGGCCATTTAACCAATTTTTTAATAGACTTTATTCTTTAGAACAGTTTTAGGTTCATAGCAAAATGGAGTGGAAAATACAGAGATTTACCACGTGCTCCCTGCCCCCCTCCCACACAGAGCCTCCCCCACTACAAACATCCCACACCAGATGGTACATTTGTTACAATCGAGTGTCACATTGATGCATCATTATCACCCAAAGTGCATAGTTCCCATGAGGGTTCACTCTTGGAGTTGTATATTCTATGGTTTTTGACAATGTATAGGGCCATATATCTACCATTACGGTATCACACAGAATAGTTTCACTGCCCTGAAAATCTC